ATGAATCCACGTATCTATCCAACTATCGATCCACGTATAAATCTACGCATCAATCCACGTATCCATACACGTATACATCCGCGTATCAATCCACGCTTCAATCAACGTATCTATCCACGCTTATATCCACGTATATATCCACGAATCCAAACACGTATCTATCGACGTAGGAATCCACGCATCAATCCACGTATCTATCCACGCTTATATTCACGTATCTATCCACGTATCTATCCAGGTATCCAGCCACCTATCAATCCACGTATCTATCCACGGTTCTATCCACATATCAATACACGTATATATCCACGCATCCATCCACGTATATATCAACGTATCTATCCCCGAATCTATCCACGTATCTATTCACTTTTCAATCCAGGTAGCAATCCACGTGTCTAACCGCGTATCTTTCAACGTATCAATCCACTCATCAATCCACATATTTATTTACGTATCTAACCCTGAAAATATCCACGTATCTATCCACGTATCAAACCACGTATCAATCCACGCATCAATCCACGTGTCTATCCACGTATCTCTCCACGTATAAATCCACTCGTCCATCCACGTATATATTAACGTATCTATCCCTGAAAATATCCACGTATCTTTTCACTTTTCAATCCAGGTAGCAATCCACGTGTCTAACCGCGTATCTTTCAACGTATCAATCCACTCATCAATCCACGCATCAATCCACGTATCTATCCACGGTTATATCCACGTATATATCCACGTATCCAACCACGCATCAATCCACGTATCTATCCACGGTTCTCTACAAGTATCTATCCACATTTGCAACGAGGTATCTATCTACGTATCTATCCAGGCATCCAGCCACGTTTCAATCCACGTATCTATCCAGGTATCCAGCCATGTATCAATCCACGTATATATCCAGGAATCCACCCACGCATCATGCACCTATCAATCCGAGCATCAATCCACGTAACTATGCAGGGTTCTCTCCACGTATCTATCCACGTATGCAAACACGTTTCTATCCACGAATCAATCCCCGTATCTATCAACGTATCCATCCACATATCAATACACGTATACATCCACGCATCCATCCACGGAATATATCAAAGTATGTATCCCCGTATCTATCCAGC